ACTCTTCTCTATGATGATCACCTTCTTGCACCCTATAAGGGATACCCAAGAATCTTCAAATGTTGCTTTTTGTTCCTCATAAGCAAACAGTCTTCTGCATCTTGAGAATTATTTTCCTCTTAACACTGCAGATTTGCTTCAAAGGCCTCGTATAGGATTCCCCTTCCCTTCTCCCTACGTTCCTTCCCCTCCTTACTCCTCCCCACTCCACTGCCCACTGCTAGGAATCCAACTTTGAATGAGGAGTGATCTATCCAGACCTGGCACTAGCAGCAGGATGGCCCCAGGCTGCTCCTCTACCCTAAAGGAGGCTGAGTTCCCCTTTCTCCAGCTAGAGGGCAGGCTTTTGGGTCTAGCAGGCTTCATCCAATGTGACAGATAATTTCCTATCCTTACTAACTAGTCTTCTCACTCTCCAAACCAGTGGTTTGCAACCTCTAAAATCATGGACCCCTGATAGTGCAATTTTTCTGAGCATCACCCTCCCCCTGCTCTATGGATATTTATTATGAACTGTTCTATAGTTGGAAGCCTCTTCTTATCTTCCTTGTGGTGGGAGGGGTGGCTCTGTTTTAATGAGAGAAAGAATGGCCATTCATGGTTTTTCTCCCGTTCTAGCAGCCAGGTCTCCAGAATTAAATTTCTCACAAAAATGCCAATGTGCAGACATAGATGGAAATTCATACCATCATCATCAAGGACCTGTGGATAGGCTGGAAGTCCTGAGGTACTGACATAGCCTGGGGCCTCAGGAGAGAGGAGACCAAAGGGATTCCATCCAAGAGGCTAGGAGGTCATTTACAAAGCTTGGCTAGGGATCACAAGCCTCGGCTCACTCTGTCAGTGTCATGGGAGGCCCTGTTGCTTCTCCTGGGAAGATAAGCACCCATATGTGAGCTGGTAGACTTCTTTCGGGGTGTGCCCCCTGAAAAGGAAGCCCCCTGCCTCACCTGGTGGCCTTTAGGCCTGGGGCCTCTGACGGTCTCTCCACCAGCTAGGCTGCTCGGCATGTGACAGTGCTTAATGAGGAGGTTCCTCGCATGGGCTCTGGGAAGCCTGTGGGAGGCAGGCACACGGCCAGGAGAATCCCAGAGAATGCCGAGTGCCACAACTGTCAGGCCTCGGAACCCATGATGTAATGCCGCGGCGGGGTCCAGGGAAAACAAACCTGCTGTTGACGCTGCCCTCCCAGCAACCAGGCACTGCCCTCCTGATAGCAGGCTGCTCTGGGTAATCACCAATTCCCTCTCCCTCCCTGGAAGGAGGAAATGTGAAAAACCTTTATTGTCACATAAAAGCCAACCCCAGCTATGAGAAATGTCTTTTCAAATGAGGCTTGCTGAGGAGGAATTTCCATAGCAACTTCAGAAGTGTGTGTACACAGCTAGAGATGCATCCGGGCTGATGAAACCCACCTGCAATGTGAACAAGCCCCACTCCGGGTATCAGCAGAGGAGAGTTTTTTCGAGAACCTGTCACGCTGCTATGTGACCGTGGGCAAGCCCTTTACCCTCTCTGCTGTCTCAAGTGACAGAACTGTCATTCCATCAGGCTGAGAGCGATCAAGACCATCTTGTCCACACTGTCCTCCCACCCTGGCCGAGGCTCGGGGCCTCCACAGCAGCCCCTGCCTCCAGTTTCTGTACCATCTCTGGCTGACTAATTCCTGTCTCTGTCAGTCTTGCTTATTATTTGACATTGAGGAAGGGCAATGCTCATTTGGGCTTGGTTCTAAAAAAAATTGCTTGGTCTTTGTAAAAGCAGTGCTTTGCCTGATTAGGAAAAAATGTACTTGTTCATATTTGCTTTCACAGTCCCATAGGTCAGATGCCTGGGAAAGTCACTGAGACGCTGAGATGTGAGTGCAGGTTTGCTGGGCCTACACTCAGGATCAAGACTGGTGGGGCCTGAGGTATGGAGGACGGGGGAGGGGGAGAGATTCCAGTATCACATGATCCCGCAGGAGTCCTGAAACCAGGAGGGCCCTGCAGAGCTATCCTGGAGGGGATGGAGGGGCTGGGCCTTTAAACTCCTACACGGACAAGTCACTGGATGCTTGCTGCCCTGGGCAGGAGGCTTGACTCTGGCTGAGGCAGCTGCCTTCATCCAGAGCAATTCTGCCATGGCAAACAGCCCCAGCTGAGGGAATGAGAGCCTGGGTGGAGAGGGGACCCCTGGGTGGCCCACCACAGCATCCACTACCTACACTCAGATATGTTGGAAATTAACGTGAAGGTGGCCCTGAAAACAGGGTGACAAAATGGTTAACAGCACAGACATCGGAGGCAGGCAAAACAGCCAGACTGGGATTTAAGCGTCAGTCTCAGTGGCTTTAAGACGCTCGGATCGGGAACATCGCCAGGAGAGTTTAGGCCACAGTTTCCTTGTAAGTGCAGCATTTGGCCTGGGCTGGTGAGACAAATATAAAGTTCAGAGTCAGAAGCAAGTTCAGATTCTGGCTCCGTGTGTCCTGGCTCCTCAGGCCAGTTACTTTACATCAGTTTCCTCCACTCTGAAATGAGACAGTCAGTGCACGCTCACAGGTCTACTGTGAGGGCAAATGGAGTGGGCAGTGAATTAGTTCACACAGAACTGGCACAAGGAAAGTGCCCAAGAAACAGGGGTGATGACAACATGTGTTTTAATACACCTCATGTGAGATCTAAGCAGACGCCTCCTGGTCAAAGGGCCTTTTCACAAGAGAAGGGGAAACTTTAGGAGGACCTTTGATTTGCTCATTGCTTCTCTGTGCCCTTGCCTTGGGCTTTAGCTGGGCATGTCAGTCATCTCTGCAGACAGCGGCCCATGGGCTGATGGGGGCCAGGTCAACCCAGTCCCAGCGTGGAGGCCATGAGGGTCATCCAGTGCAACAGAGTACTTTGAAAGCTACACATTTTGAAGCAGGCTTATCTTCCAATAAAAAAAGCATCACCCATACTTCTGACAGGTTCGATAAACAATGAAACTCACTTGCTGGTACTTTGTTCCATGTTTGCTCATCTGAGACAATGGGGTGATGATACACACCAAACAGGATCGATTTGAGAACATGGAAGATTTCAAACACCTTAAAGGGCTATGTAAATTCAATTATTATTGTTGCTAGAAGACTCAGCTTTGATCAATTACAAAGGAAAACAAGAAGAGCATAGGTCTACCTGTAGTAGGCTTGTTCTAATTATTAAAAAGCAGCCACAAGACTCCCAAGAGTTATCAAGAGATCTCTGTTATTATTATTTATTGTCACTATCACTATTATGGAATACATTTCACATATGTTATCTTACCTGGCTCCAACAACAAATCCTAAAAAGTTGGTATTATTAATTCCAGCTTGCAGATGAGAAAACTGAGGCCCAGAGAGGTAAAGTGGCACCATATTGCTCAACTAAGAGGCCTTTGGGCTTGGAACCCAAACATATGCTTTCTCCACTGTAGAAAGAGTGTCTGCTTACCGGAGAAGGTTCATGAAGCCTGGTGAAGTATGGTCCTACTTAGAACAGGTGTTATAATGTCAGCTGTTGAGTAACGATGGGGTTCTGAATACATGGGTATCGTGTGTCCTTCGGGCTTTATATGTAAGAAATGTGTCCCGGCTTGGTACTGGTTCTGAGAAACTGACCCTGCCATATGAAGGGGCCCTGTCTGGCTGTAGCAGAATGGCCTCTTTGTTTGACTGTGTGTCTGCTGACCAAACATCTGAAAGAACTGTCTGCATACAGAACATTTTCAAAATAGGTGAGAAATGTGGTTCAGTGCACACCCGAGATGTTTTTAGACCAACTCTCCTCCAGAATTCTCTGGCTTGTTTTCTCTGGTGCATGGAATATTTGATAATACAATTTTAAGTGACGATGAATGAAGGATGACTACAGGATCTGAGTAAATTACACAGGATGTGTGACCAGGCCGCCCAGTGTACTAAAAATTACCTCTCTCAAGTGAATATAGATCTTCCCTTCTATCTCAAGTGATCCTCATTTTAAAATGAGGACACCGAGGCTCAGAGATGTGAAGTGACTTGCTCAAGATCTCACGGCTACACAGGAGCAGAATCCAGGTTTTTAACCTCCGTGTTCAGACTCCACAAAATCAGAGAAAAATGAACGTCCAGAACCATCTTGAAAGGGAGAGGAGTCAGAACGGGCAGCTTGGCGATGGCTGTGGAAGGGGGTAACCATGGACCAACCTTGAGCCTCAATGATGGTAGTTCTGAGGCTCTGGCATGATGCCCTAGAGCCTCCGATCTCTATTAGGCCATCACCCCCTCCTCTCCTACCTGTCACTTCTGAGTCATTGCCCCACCACCAGCCTCCTAAAACAACGGTTCCCAAAGTACAGTTCATCACTGCAGTACTTCTCAAATGTCAAGGTGCATACAAATCACAAGTGAAGTTGTTAAAGTGAAAATTCTATTCAGTAGTTCTGGGGTGAAGCCTGAGATTCTGCATTTTAACAAGTTCCCAGTGATGCTGATGGGTCTGTGGACCAAATTTTTGAGTAGTGAGGCATCAATAGTAATGTACAAGGAAAAGCACTTATGGGTGAATATGCTTGAGAAAATCTGGACTTAACAAAATTAAACTAGTTTCATTATTGCAGGACTTCTCAGAGCCTTTAAAATGCTACTGAGCATCCTTTAACTCCAAGAGAGAGAGGTAACACAGAAATCATAAAGTGTTATACATGAGAAAGGAGTAACGATATAACCAGGATGCTTTGAGATATATTGGCTTACAAAGAACAAGAAATGAGGAAAATTATATGTGCATTTTTCCCAACTTACCTTGGTTCCAATGTGTCAATGTTGCAGCTCATATTCAGCCCCAACTTGGTCCTCCCCTTTCCCATTTTCTCCTGAGGTGTTTGGGTACATGCCTGTTTCTTCCATCAGACCACATACATCTGGGCCTCCCTGCTCCTCCTCCCTGCCCTCATCCCAGCATGAGCAGTGTGCCGGGAGGCCCCAGGTGAGTGCAGAACCGGACCCACGGGAATACCTTTCACAGACACGGACGGTCCAGGCCGCGATGATCCACAGTGAGATGCTGAACACAAGCAGCACAGTGCCCGGGCAGATGGTCATGAGGGTCTTCATGACGAAGCGGGTGTTGAAGTTAATCTTGTTGAGGGCCCCGATGCTGCGGGACGAGGCGTCGGTGAAGAGCTTGCTATGCAGTAGCATGACGCGGGCGATCAGGTACAGACGCAGGAACATGGGGATGGACAGGATGATGTCCACATCGGCCTCCGCCCGCGAGGGTGTGTAGGAGAAGGCCAGGCGTGCCGTCCAGAAGAACTTGTACTCGCCAGGAATGGGGTGGATGGCACACACCAGCATCTCCAGGCTGATGTAGAGGATGCGCTCGTAGGTCATGGCTATCCGCCAGTCGTCCGCACCATTGTCAATCACGAAGAGCTGTGGGAGCAGAAAGCCTGTGAGCACAGCCAGGAGGGAAGCAGACAGTGGGGGTAAGGGAGGATGGGGCAACTGACCCACCCCGGGGCCCTCTCTGGAGACCTCGCTTGGGTGAAGGGAGCCCTGGAGGGGGAGTCAGGAGACCTGGCTAAGACACGTCAATCGCTGGGCCTCCGTTTCTGTAAATTGCTCCCCAGGGTTCCTTCCAGCTCCGAGGGTCCCCTACCCTGGCTGTGCCCTGACTAAGAAGACGCACAGCTCACTTATACTGAACAGTTCCCTGGGCCCCTGCCAGGCCCTGAGCTGAGCCCTGAGGGGGATGTGCAGATGAAAAGGCTCTGTTTCCTCAATGAGTGAACTCACGGGGGCTAGCTGGGGTGTGAGCGGTGAGGGCCCCGGAGCCAGACTGCCGGGATCTGGATCCTGGTTTCTACACTAACTAGCTCTGTGACCTGAGCCTCTCTGTGCCTCAGTTTCCTGCTCTGGGGACAATGAGAGTAACACGTGCTGCATAGAGGTGGCCGTGAAGCTGCAGTGGGCTAATATATAAGAAGTGTGGGGAATCCTGCCTAGCACCAGCTCTGTAAGTATTATTGTTGCTATTTTTAGCATTGTTAATCCATGGGGTCTCTTTCTGGAAATGAGGGCTGGGCTCGGGGATGTCTAAGCTCCCTTCCAGTCCACACCTTCTTTCTACAAAGCTGAGATTCTCACTGTCGCAGCAGGGAAGACGGGCAAAGCAGCTGAAAGAAGTCTTCGCTGAGCACCTGCTGTGCGCCCAGCCTGGGCTCAGCGCTGGGTTCACACACCAGCAAAGCCCTGGCTTGTTCTCAAGGAGGTCTCACTGCGGAGTTCCCCGTGCAAGGGGGCCTCACGTCCTTCCCTTCCGTGGCCCCAGTCTCCGCTGCAAAATGAGAGGCTCTGAGATCCAGTTTGGACATTCGAAGGTCCTGATTCTTAGAGGGTGAGGCCTGAGACCAGGGGCCTCTGTTGGACTTGGGGGCCTCCTGGACAGGCGTGCAGCTCAGTTCTGAGAAGTGATGGAAGTGTTTCTCCCACGCCATCCCCTCTCGGTGCTGGGCCTTGCCTCTCCAGCTTGCTCTGTCCTGGTTTGCCCATCACACAGCCCCACACGCCGCCGGCTCCAGGGCCGCGCAGAGCAATTCTTTGTATGGCTGCTTGAGCTGGCCCATAAGGTGGGGGGCAGGGGCAGGGTCCCCCAGCTTAGCACGAGCTCGTGTTCCACATGCACTGGTACGACCTGGCCAGAGGAGCAGCCCACGAGTCCCAGGAAAGATTCGTGGCCAGAAAGAAACTCAGCTGCCTTAGAAAGAAATGAATGCTGGGGCCAGGGTTGGGAGGCAGAAGTTTGATTTAACCTGGAAAAGTTTGATTTAACCTTCATCATGGCAGGAATCAGAGAGGTTGGGTCAGCATGGATTAGGCATGCTGGTCAAAGGCTGAGCGAAGACTTCCTCACCAACCCCCCATCACTTTGCTCCACTTCACAGGTTGTTTAGGGACGTAGAGGCCCTTTCCTCTGTCTGTCCTGCTGTTTCCTCTACAGTCGGGGCCAAAGGAAACTTCTGCTGTCTTTTGTTGTTGGTGGTGGTAATTTTTTTAAAAAATTGTTGTATTTTGAAGTTAGTCACCAAGCACTTTTCTCCTTCCTTCACTGCCACCCTGACAGGCCACCATCCTAACAACTGAGGATGCAGGAAAGAAGACCGTGACACCATGCCTGGGGCCTCTGAGGGTAAAAAGGGCCCATCAAGGGATCTGTGACACAAATTCAAGGTGAATCAATGTGGTCATAGGACTTGGATGAGGGGTATCCTGGCTGCCCTGCATTTAGGGTCTGCCTGTGCCATTTGGCCTGCCACAAGGAGCAAGTACCAGCCGGCTGTGAAGAGGCAGGTGCAGCTGCAGGAGTGCGCATGGAGGGGAGGCAGCCTGTGCAAGCCGCGCGCTCACCCTGCTGGACCACAGTTCACCCTCCTCCTGCCCCGGGACCTCATAGAGCTGTGACGTGGAATAGGGGAGATAACGGGTATAACGGGGCTTCATAAGCTACAAAAGGTCATTCATTCATTCATTCAACAAACATGCTGGAGTCCCTCTATCTGCCAGGGGACTGGGCATTCAAGATGCAGTGAAACAGCTCTGAGCATGGCTCCTATGATGAGGCTCGTGGAGGGAAACTATTAATAGAAGGCACTATGGGAACAAGGGGGCCAAGGGGCCAACCTCAGCCCAGGCAGCTGTAATTGGAAAGGTATGATCTCTAAAAGGGAGAGAGGACCCAGCCCAGCACCAGCTGAGACTCCCCCTCCCTCCCCAGTGCAGCTAAGCTGGGGTTTTTGCAGACATGGGTTTGCACCATCAATTAGAGGGACTAGAGGAGAATCCCAGGGACGGGGGAGCCTGGTGGGCTGCCGTCTATGGGGTCGCACAGAGTCGGACACGACTGAAGTGACTTAGCAGCAGCGGCAGAGGCTGCTCAAAGGATTCCCTCTGCTCCTAACCTGCCACCGACAGGCCGAGCCATGGCAATGTGACTGCCTGGCCAAACTCTTCAAATACAAAATGAAAACCATCTGCCCTATAAGAAAGAACTGCATCAGGTTACTATAGTAACTAGGTTCACTCTGGGCAGATCGCAGGTTCCTTGGATTCCCTGATGAAGAATGAGAGTATACACCACCCATGTTCAAGTGGCGGCAGGCCGGCAGTTCTGCCCAGCTTGATGAGAAGGGGCTGGCACCAGGCTGGTGTCCCCACCTGCCTGCCACATGACCTGCTTCTGCTTCAGTTTCCTGGCACAAGCTTGGGTAGGGGACAACATGCAGTAGTAGTGTTGGAGGCTGGTGAGCTGGACCGAAGCCTCACACATCCAAACACTAGCTGTGTGATCACAGGCAAGTCCCATCACCTCTCTATGCCTATTTCCACATCTCTGTCCTAAGACTATGAAACTTGACCCTGTCCGTCTCTTGGGATTAGCATTAGGATCCAGTAATACAGATAATACAAGAGAACATTCTTTACGAACTACAGTCGGCCACCGATACCCACAGATGAACTGTGGATGCAGAGGGCTGAGAGTCCTATACCATTTTATATAAGGGACTTGGATTTTGGTGTCCACAGAGTTTACTGGAACCAATCCCCTGTGGATACCAAGGGACACCTGTACTCTCAAAACGTGAGGGATTATTAATCCCTGTGAGGCACTGAGAGACAGTATGTATGTGGGCCCATGGGGATATAGTCCAGGCTGAAGATCAAGAGCCTCTGCTAGACAGGGCTCCATGCAGGGGTCTGTCAGTCAGCAGGGTGGGCAGTACGGCCCAGAAGATTCCTTTGCTGTCCCATAGGAGGACACCCTTGTTCCTGCTCCCATCTGACCCCTGGAACCACAGCTCTCCAAGTGTAGCCTCCTTCCTTTCAGACTCAAGCAGGTAACAGTACCCCACCCTGCCACATCCTCACTCAGCATCCTGTTCATTCCGTACAAGTCACAAGTCTCAGTTATGTATTTATTCATCTTTACTTGGAACCCTGAGTATTCATTGGAAGGACTGAAGTTGAAGCTCCAACACTTGGGCCACCTGATGCCAAGAGCCAACTCATTGGAAAAGACCCTTATGCTGGGAAAGATTGAGGGCAAAAGGAGAAAGGGGCGGCAGAGGATGAGATGGTTAGATAGCATCACCAACTCAATGGACAAGAATCTGAGCAAACTCCAGGAGATAGTGAAGGACAGGGGAGCCTAGAATGCTGTAGTGCAAGGGGTCGCAAAAAGTTGGACACAACTTAGCTATTGAACAACAACAACTTGGTTTTTATCTCTTCCCCACCTCTCCCCACACCGTCCAGAGCAGTGTTTCTTGATCTGTCTGCGAGAATCACTTGGAAAGCTTGTTTAAAAGACCCACACTCCGGCCTACCCTAGACCAAGTAAATCTGAAACTCTAGGCATGAGGCTTTGGCATTGGGAATTTTCTTAAGTTTCCTTGGGTCATCCCAAAATGTAACCTGGATTGTGACCCAAAAAGGGATGGGGGGCCATATCTGCCTTGTTTGTCTGCTGTGGAATCTCTGGTGCCGGCCCAGCTCTTAGCACATATAGGTGTTGGGTAAATTCTTGTATAGTGAATAAATAACTACTGTTGACTATTTGACCCTGGGTGACTAGAATCCCCAATCCTGGATTTGATTTCCTCCTCTGAGGAATAGGTGGATAGGTTGGATGAGCCCTGAAGCACCTTCCACTCTGAAGATCCCTTATTCTGTGCCCTGTTTTTTTTTTTTTTTTAATTTTTAATTTATTATTTATTCCTGGTTGCACTGGGTCTTCACATGGGCTTTTCTCTAGTTGCAGCAAGTGAGGGCTACTCTTCGTTGTGGTGCGCAGGCTTATTGCAGTGGCTTCTCTTGTTTCAAATCACAGGCTCTAGGCACACTGGCTTCAGTTAGTTGTGGCACATGGGCTTTGTTGCCCTGCAGCATGTGGAAATCTTCCCAGGCGAGGGATCGAACCTGTGTCCCCTGCATTGGCAAGCAAACTCTTCACCACTGGACCACCAGGGAAGTCCTTCTGTGCTCTATTCTGAGCCCTTGTTCTATGCAGACCTCATGTGTGGTCTCGAGGCGCATGAGCTCCCTGAGGACAGGACTCATGGCTGGCTCATCTCACCTTTCTCCAAGGGCTAGGATGGTCCTGGTACAGTCAATAGAATTTTACTGAATAAAGAGGTGTGTGGGTGAATGACTATGTCATGTGAAGAAAAGGACAGGTGGACAGTGGCCCTTGTTAACCACCCAGAATGGAAATTCGTGTAGAAAACTCATTGCTAAGCCTGTGACTAATGGAATACCTGACAAGTTATCTTACGCCATGAGAAGGACACCCTCCTATTCCCAGGGGGTGGTCCAATCTGGAATAAAGTGTCCCAGGTGATCTCCAAGCCCTAGAAAGTACTGGAGCAGTGCTGGAT